GGAACAGGATGTAAACCTTGTTATAGCTCTGTGATAGGGGCTTTGTCACTAGGCACTTGCTTTTTGTACACTGCAGCAGGCTTGCGGAGACTGCACAGCAGCCCAAAAACTAGCCGGAAGACAGACACTACTTGCTGCCTTGTCTTTGACATGAAGTAACTGCTCAGCAATCAATTTATTTATTCATTTTTAATAGTGGAATGAATATTTGTTTTGGTTTCTCTGGCTACAGAGAAGTGGGTGATCCAGGCTTGTTGCCTTCATTTGGGAGAGTTTCCGTTCCTACAGCCTAGGCTGGCTAGTATCGGCTCCTGGTGGTCATCTTCGCCAAAGAGAGGTGCTATGAATGGCTTATTGAAGGTGTTTGCCTCCGTTCATTTATAAAAGAAAATAAATTGAGCTGAGAATAGAATCGAGCTAAAGCCCATCATCAGACCATCCCGCTACTATCCCCAAAGGAGCGCTGGTGTTCCTTGCTTTTCACTGCCACCTGTCTTTGCTTTGTGAATCCGTGTAATGAAAGTCTGGATTTTCATTATGTTTTTTCAGTGAGTATCTGGGCAGATCTGAAAGAGGAGGTGTATTTTTCAGTCTTTTAAACTGACGCTGTACAGCGCTATATCTCGTTAATGGCTTTTGTTTATGCTCTTTGGGTGAGGCAGTTTGAGATCCTGCTCTGTGGCAGGTAGTGCAGCAGTACATACAATTTAGGGCAGGGTGTTTGGCAATAAGCGCGGTTTTTCCGGGCCAGTAAAAACTTGAGGTATGACAACAGCCGCTGGTAGTGTGGAATAATAGCAGTTGCAGTGTCATTTGTTTTCAGGGCTTAGATACTCCCTGTGCAGTCAGTGACAAGTAGTGACCCTCTCCCCAAAATCCTAGATGTCCGGTTCACGGCAGCTTTATCGTGAAAGAGTGATTTGCATGTCGTTCCACCTGATCAAACCTCCAGCAGCCTAGACCCCAGCAGACCCTCTGATCTCTCGAATGGTCCATATTTTGTGCCTCTTTATAAAGTGGTTTAGGTACACTTGTTCTCCCAACAGTGTCGATAAAGTTCCAGGCAGTTTTAACTGTATTTTTTCATCGGAAAAAGCTGCTGATGTTTGTTATGCTGAAGCAGTGTGTCCTTGAAAGCATGAGCCCTCCTTTCCCAGACTCTGGCTTTTTTCTCTTGGTGATGCTTTGAGGACCCTGAGTGATGAATATAATTTTGTAAGCATAACTTTTTTTTGTCTCTGTAAACTTCTACTTTTTCAATTGCTTTGTAAGTCTTTTGGGAGGTGGGTTTAACGTAAGGAAAGAAACATGACAAAATTTGCATGCTGCTTTATTAGCTATAAACAGGTAACCAGGGAAAACCAATTGACCATAATGGTGGAGTGGATTTAATATTAACCTGTCAGTTACTGCATGCGAGTTCTCTTTATTGAAAGTCACAATTCCATAGTCTTACAAGAACGGGGTGAGGGGGAGCAGCGCTCTCTTGCTATCATTGTTAGTGTAGCAACAGATTTTTCCATCCCCTGTGTGTTGCTCCAGGCTTTTTCCACAGCTTCCATATAATTTATGTGTTGAGATTATTTTTCTGGCTTACATTCCATATTTTTGATAATCAGTGTATTGTGAGAAAGGGCCTACTGGGAACTTGCATACCGCTGTCCTTTCCAGTAAATGACTTGTTTGTGTCCAGGACAAGCTGATCAGCCTGTTCCTTGTCTAATATTAGTGCCTTACTAGCGCTGGTTGAACCATTTTTAGCTGATTAGCTACTTAACAGGTTTCACTACTTGCTCCTCACGAATTCAGCTTTTGAGAAGAGTAGTGACACCAGGAATTTAAATTTTTTTTTTTAAAATATATTCTTTAGCATATCAGTCGATCCTTTCCTGCTTCACTGTAAATGTCTACCTCCCACTGAGACTGAAGCATACAATTTATCAGAGATGTCTAGACCTTTTGTTAATGGAGAATTCACTGCTATTCTTTGCCTTGACTCTGGAAAATAAAATTACTTTAGTTTTTCAATTGACTTGATAAGAGTGTTTCTCATCTTCATTTTCCATCAAACACAAATCTGTTTCCATGCTTAGGTTGCTGTCAGAGAAGATGACAAAAGCTGACTGGTCTTGGCTCTCAAATATTTTGGGTGGTGCCTTCCTCCTGAACCAATTTTGAAATTTTCAGAGGGACAATGCCTTCCTCTTTCATTCTGAAGTCAGGAATATAATCGATATTCAACCAACCTAATGAAAAAATGTGAGATTTTTGAAAGTGGAAAAGCAGATACCTGGTTTGAGGACAGCTTTGTGAGCTGCTTTGCAAGAGCCATCTTATCTCCTCTTCTGAGGTTGATGTTGGAGTCGCTATGCGTTTTATCTCCTCTTGTACGGTTCTTGTGGCAACAGGACGGCCAGTCGTGGGTTCTGCCGGAGCAGAGGGCTTTGAGGAGAACTTGCAGGTTCTGCCAGAGCAGAGGGCTTTGAGGAGCTCGGTGCATGTGGCTGGACTGGTTTTGAATTTGTAACTTCCTCAGGGTATACCTCTTAACAGTGATGTTATTAGTCTATTAACACAGATCTTAAGAAGTAGCTTATCTTTATACAGCAGAAGTCCTCTCCTGAAAAGTACATCATCAGTATTGTCTGTGGGAAGAACTCTGTGGCTCCTCAGTGATGTTTGGAGAAGGGATTTAGTAAATCTCTCTTGGCATAAATACTGGGAAATGGATACCTGATGGCACCTTAGACACTTTTTTTCTCTTCATGCTCATCTGTTGCTGGAGAATGTTGTCTTGACTGAAATCTCTGGATGTGTAGCTGGAGGCATGGTAATAGCCGTACCCAAAAAGTTAGCAATGCTCACTGCAGTGGCCATACCCAAAATGTTAGCAATGCTCACTGCAGTAGACAACTCCTGACTGTGGTAACTTTCCTCAAAATCCATGGATGCACGCACAGCTTGCAGATACCACCAAA